GAACCCACGACGTAAGGATAAACTCCTTACTCCGCGACTCTAGAGCAGACGCTCTAACCACTGCGCCACGCGGGCGACCCTATGAAAATGGTATATTGCTACATACATAAGGGAAGTTAACGAAACAAAAAACCATTTTCATTGCCATATGGAGTTTATGTCTCCCAGTTGATTCAATGTGTAAGAGCGTGTTGTACGTATGACAATGAAAATGGTATATTGCTACATACATAAGGGAAGTTAACGATAGAAAAGTTGAAGTTCGTTCGCCATCATTGTCTTTCTCTAGTAAAATATCCAAATATGAAACAAATGTGTCAGACTCTGTGGTGTATTTTACATGTGTATTTCGAGTTCTAAGGGATATATCAAATCAACGTAAGAATGAAAAATGAATATTGTTAATTGATAAACCGTCGTCAATATATCTAAAGAAGAATTGAAGGCTACAGCAAGAGATTCTTCTTTTCATGCAGAAGTTTTTGAATGAATTTTAACTTCATATGAATACAAAAAATAAGACTGCTAATAACGGGGCACATTGTGTACCCTGGAAATTCCAAGGGATTCTTGGAAGATCTAGTCTCCAAAAACTACATAGATACTATCAAAATTCCAGCATCTATTTAATACCAACATCGGAGTACTTGTGCGTAGAATCGGAATGTTTTTAACAAGATAAGTTTGCAGATGATCAATGACAAGATAAATTTACAAGTTCCAATTTTAGTGAAAAAAGTTGTCTATGATGTCATCAAATTTTACGCACTTTTTCCGACCCAATATCAAATTTGTAAAACACCGTTTTACAAAACAACTTACGACTAAGATCAAAAACTTAATTTGATTGTAAAATTTTGCAGAAATGATATTTCTGTTTGAAATTGCTAGCATAAAAAATATCTTGTTAAATTCTTTTTAAAAAGATTTTAAACCATTTTAAAATAAATGTAAAATAGCAAGTAATCAGCAAAATTAAAATTTTGGTCTTAGTCATAAGTTGTTTTGTAAAACGGACCCCTGGTCTTTAATTGATGTCAGTCATATTTTCCTTTTTGTTTTTTAAATGGTTTTTGAAATGATTCCCTCTACCTTCAATAAATGATACTACATTGAAATCAAACTCAGTGGAATGATTATTGGAATGAACCTTGGACAATTCATAAAATTTAACATAACAACTCAGAACAAGAAGCTTTAAAAGGCATGGAAATTAAAGACGCAATTGAGAGATTTCATAGATTCGTGGATGAACTGTAAGTGAATGCCGAAAGTAAATTCATTAAAACGTCGGTAACGTTGTTGTCGTGCGGGGAAGACAGAACGTAACTTTTTTGTTTATATTTTATATAGTATTTTAAGTATCGAAATGAAATTTTTGAAAAACAGTCAAAATTGATGGAGATATACACTAATGGTATTACTTGTGTATCTAACCCTCGTACAATGTACGTTTTATTATTTATTTATTTTTTTTTAATTCACGAACCTCCATTGTTTACAATCTTTTTTTGGAATCACATGACAGAGTTACAAGGACGATAGTTTAATTATAGTACGTAATACTATTATCATCAACTGGCCCTAACATTCATCACTACCTAATTTACAAGTCTTGTTTCGCTAACGTACATCTTTTAATTTAGCCTATGCCATTAATAAATACCTTACAGTTGTTCAAAAATATTTAAATATTACTAGTTTGCACCGAGACAGGTGGTATATTCTCCTTTTACTACAAGAAAAGACAAGATATATACATGTTCTTTTGACCGATTTGATCACAACATATAAATTACAATGATGCACCTGTTCTTTATTTCAATTCATCTCCATGAATTTACCTTCAACTGAAAGACTCTCGTTACTTAATCAGCTGTATACATCTACTGGATCTTGACTGAGTTTTTCGTTCTTATACAAATTACATGTAAATTTGAAGCTCTAATCAAAGGACCCATAAAATAACTGCATGCAAATACTGCATTAGCTTCTTTGATGAATTACTGTGTAGCAGTAAAAAAGAAAGCCACAAATAATGTAACAAGCACCTTATCTAAATCAAATTGTTATTTTCATTACATTTTCATATGGTGTCTTTCGTATTTCCATAATTAAAAGTAAAATTATGTAAATACGCTGGTCTGTACATACAGTGTATATACATTATTTTTATATTATAAAAGGCCAGTGATGAACACTCAAATCATATTTTATGTGACACTGGCACGCAGGTTTCGTTTTTTAGTCAACAAATGTATTTGTGGACAACGTTTGAATATTTATGGTTAACCCAATTTTACTGATGAGCTATATATTTTTTTTCACTTGACTTTTCATTTTGTAAAAAAAAAAAAAAAAAAGATTCATTACAGACATGTGCATCACGGAATTGAGCTATAGACAATACTAATACATAATGATAGAAATTGACATTATTTTGTGTATCAATCGCTGACATGGCCCGAATATAACAAGATCATATGAATATTTCACTTATTAAATTCAGTGCAATTTATTTTTGAAGCATTATCATTTATTTGCTTTAGAGGAAATAATGTCACATATGTACATGTATATTAAAGAATCGTTAAAGAAATTTAAAAGGCAAAATGCCAGCCATCTATCCTTCCTTTTTCACTTAATCGGAGGTGATCAAAGAATTATAAAGACTACATAAACAATATGTTATGGTTCCAGCCGACAAGGCTTATAACAATATCGTCTTTGTTTGCAAGGCTTATTTTTATAACTGAATTTTAGAACCTTGTTTCAGTTCTACTGTTGGAAATCCAACTTATACTCGCAGTTAACTTTCTACAGATGAAATTCTTCAAAATCACATTTCAGTATTTAGAACTTTTAACACTCCAGTTAACCAAGGTGAGTTCGATCTACCCTACTCATACTGGATTCCTAAACTTCATTAAAATCCTAACAAACAGAGAAACATTACAGGGTCAAGCATATGCTCTACTAAGCCACTACTCTTACTCCTTACAAAAATATTAACTGCACTTAAGGAGAAACTTCAGACGTACTGTGCTACAGCATATTCTAGAAGTGGTGTAAATCAGACGTGGATCCTCGAAAAATCCAAAGAACTTTTAGGCAGTTTAAAATCGACAAATTTTTCAAAAGTCAGTTACATAAAAAACACGACTTTTCCGCACTTTATGCAACCATTCCTCACGATAAATTAATATAACTAGTCTTTTTGATATCGTAGATAACTGCTTCTTCAAAAAAAAAAAAAAAAAAAAAAAAAAAAAAAAAAATAGAAGTCGAAAAAATTCCTATATTATGATTGGTCATCAACAAAATTACTTTTTAAAAAATCACTCTGATTCTACACACAAGACGTCTGAAATTGATATTAAAGGAATGATGGAGTTCCTAATTGACAACTCTTACTTAGTCTTCGGAGACCAGGTCTTCAAACAAACTGTTGGAATTACCATGGGCACTAATTGTGCTCCTTTACTAGCCGACCTGTTTTTATATTCCTATGAAACAGAATTTATTCAGAAACTTCTTCATGAGAAAAAGAAAACACTTGCTGTGTCCTTCAACTCGACATCTATATAAATTGACGATGTATTATTAATTAACAATAAATACTTTCATTCATAAGTCGATTCGATATATCTCAGAAAACACCACAGAGTCTGCCACATCTGTTTCTTTATTCGGATATTTTACTGACTATAGATAAGGGCCACCTAACAACTAAATTGTATGACAAACGAGATGACTTCAACTTTTCCATCGTCAACTTTCCTTATTTATGTAGTATTCCCCTTCCACCTGCGTATGGTCTTAACATTTCCCAACTTATTCGATACTCAAGAGCATGCCCCGAGAACGATAAATATTTAAAGGGAGGCAGGCTACTGACAAATAAGTTGATGTTACAGGGATTTCAACAACCTCGTTTAAAACCAGCATTTCGTAAATTTTATGGTCGTTATAATGACTTTGTTAGCAAATATAACCTATTATTAGGTCATATTTTGGCTGACTTGTTTCAAACAATTGTTAGGCCTTTGTTTTATACTGAATATGACTACGGAATGTTCGGTCTACCTGATCAATACATAGGGCTCATTGGATGCTCACTCCTCCTAAGCACTTGATCCCACCCCTGGAATTTCCAGGAGGTCAGTGTTTTATGCCTTCTTCACAGAATTTTATTTTTTATAGATTTTTTGACATCGATCACTGTTCGTTATCTTCACATTTTTCATATGTCCGCTAAGTATATGAAATCTGCAGGTATTGAAGATAAACGGCAACTAGACCATTCGTATGTTGATTACAGTTCAATATAATACCTTTCATTGAATCATGACGTCTATCATTAGAATATATCAATTTTTACGATTCTCTCCCACTGGGTCGTTGAAAGATTGTTGCTGAAAAATCTAGATTGAACCAAAATTTTTAAGAACAATAGTAATATTTTAATAAGATTTGTGACGTTATTTCTTCTCAAATGTAGGCTTAATATTTTCTATATCTTACGTTATTACGTCTGACGTACTTAACGGCTACGTCATACGATGCCACTATATACTTATGAAAGTTCGGCATTAAAATGATTAATCATAAAAACAATAATCCAGTATTTTCATTTTTAAAAGGTTTCATGGCAGTCTAAATATAAAACATTCAAAAATACTTAAAACTATTGCATTTTTTTGTTTGTTTTTTAACTTAATAAACTATGATTAATACATGTTTCCAAGTATCTGCTAATTTCATTTCTCAATGCAAATTTTTATTCTTCAAAGATAAGGTCATATCTTCACAATTAACATAATACAGTATACAAATATTGAGTATATAGTGATTACATGTCTGTGATGTGCAACCATCTTTACACAGCAAAAGTAATGGACATTTTTATTTTTAGAATCCGGAAATTATAATCGTATTCAGGTGATAAATATATACTTCCTGCACGACAAAATAAACCGATAGCCCTTTTGGGGAAAATGCATCATAATTCATCGTCGACTTTGCTCCACCTACACGTGGCTTTAGATTAAATAAATACAACAGGACTTCATAGCCGTATTAATTAAACATTACCTGGTTAGAGCAGTGTTTTCTCCGCACGCTCGCTGATTCTACCTGGATAATGTGGTTTAATTATGACAGGAATGAGGAGATCAGTTATTGTATATTTTGTGGGATATTTAACGTTTTCATGTGCTCACTACCCATTTATTCCAAGGCATCCAAGACCGTTTATTCGTCAAATTTATCCTAATCCCCCTTTATTTGGGGGAATGTTTTTTCATCGCCCTGTGTTCAATATTCATGCTAGATTTCATCCGCGAATAGGTTTACCTCAGGTACCATTTACAAATAATATGTTTCATCCTCATCATAAAATAAACACTAATTGTCCAAGTGAAAAACATTCTGTTGGTCATGCAGCAGTACCAAGTACGGTATCAGTACCATCTTCCTATGATGGTAAAAATATACAGAAACTGCCTGTGCCAACCACAAGTTTTGTTAAGCTCTTTCCAACAATTGGATCGCAACCTTTTAATTTTGTCAAAAATGTTGCTGACGCACCATCAAACCATTTGGAAAGTAATCCCTCCGTAGCACTAGAGGTACCACTTGACAAATCCCACATTATAGGATTACATCCTACCCTAGAATCGGAAACTAGGCGCATCACTGGCGTAAAACCTACGCTCAGGATTGAGAATACAGACATTTCCAATGATACATCCGGCGATCATAGAAATCCAGACTGGAATTACTTCGATTTCATAACCAACAAAGATTTTATAATAAAACTTATTGAAAATAAGCTGATTAAGCTTCAAAACAAGGAGAAGATAGTGGGTGGTATATCAGTAAACACACAGCTGTATGATCAAATCAAGAGGATAGAAGAGGCGATGGGTATTACCGTGGCTCTAGAGAATGGCACCACCACTGTCCCTCCAGTGGCGACCAATTCAACAGGTAAGTCAGGGTTAACTTTTGAATTATCCACTTCTATGCTTGGAAATGCTAAAATACTGAAATTTCATTTTAATTGTCTTTCTTTGGAATCTTCATGAAATGAAAAAAGGCCCATACTTATAAACATTGATATATTTGTATGTCTATAATCAAATTTAAAACTTTGGGCGCTGAACACTTATTTGATATACGGATTAAACGTTCTTTGATATATGAAATAAATGACACGTTTCCTTTTCCTTGTCATATTGCTCATCATCTTTTCCGTGTATTAGTGTTAAAACTCTACTCTCTATTTAGATTTTTTTTCTATATTAAAAGAACCCTCATTGCGATTGACATTTTGAAGGAAGTGTGTGTAAAACTTTTTTTTAGACATCTGAAAGTTTTACTAGTAAACGAAGATGCATTTCATGTCATTAACACTAGGTTTATTTTCGAGGTAAACTTAATTAAAGTACACACGAAGGTGATTAGTGCAATTTAATATTCATTCATCTGGGCCGCTGCTTGAATACATTACACCTTTCGTGACAAACTCACAAATTGCGTCCCCATTTGAATCATCAGATTTAATAAGACTCGTATTGTTCATTCAATGGCTCTTATGCAAAATATATTACAATTGCTTTTAGGCAAGACCCCTTTTTCTGCTGCAATAAACTGTCGGTAATATTCAATTGATATTTAGCTGAAAAAATCTCTTTCAGCTTACAGTTGGTTGTATAATTTAATTAACGTTAAATGTGACAAGGTATTCCATGTTAACATAAGATTAATCATGTTATCTGTCTGATTATATATTTATGGAGGCCTCAAGTTCTAAGCAGTGCCAAGTTTCCCTGTCATAATTCCAGTTTCTATGTTTTTATGTTGTTTATACTGAATTTGAAATGAATTTATGATTGTTCATGCTAGTACGCTTGGGTTATCGGAACAAATGAACGCGCGTGAAAGGGACTTCTTTTACCATTCTTGTCTTCAATATATTCATTTTAAAACGAATAAAAAGAAATATCAGATTATTCACCCCATAATATGACACTATATATTGTGTAGCACTGGTATTGTGTTGGGTGTATACAATAATTTCAGATTCAATTCAAAAGCTAGTGTTATAAAACTTAATGATAGAAGATGAACGATAATTAGGTAAATATATATTTATATATAAATTAAGACTTAAATACATAATGACATTTTATGACATTTAGCACTGATGATTTGGTAAACCATTTCAGAGATAATTTGATTAAACATACCTTTAACAAAGGAAAACTCTGAAATTGCATATGCTTCAGCTTGCAAATGCGCCAACGTTTCAATAGAAAAGCACCACTGTGGCCACTTAATGAAGTATTTCTTTTTGAAAATGGTCAGTTAAGTAAACTGATTATTAGAAAATTATTAGTTACCAAAGGTAAAAAAAAAATCATGGCTCAGAAGGGAAAAAAGTCAAGTAAGATTTCAGACTATGAAACATGTATAATATTAGAAGTACCGGGTATTCAAATGTAAAAAAAGGTCATACGAATTTCAAATTCATCTTATCTGGAAATTTAGTTTTGTGAAAACTAGAAAGAAAGAAATAATCAACAACATGAAGTAGAGTAAAATTTAAGTCGACAAAAGCACTGTTATTGCTTAACCAACTTACAAGGATTGACAAGGGCTATGAAGATGGTAACAAAAGTTTAAATGAGTCTGCTCGTTACAGGTTCTCATCATTATAAATCTAAATGGATTTTAGAATTACCATTAATAATTTTCCACATTTACACTAAGAAGCTAGTATCATGCTTTTAAACTCGCTCTCGAATGTCTTGAAAGTCTGTTAATTAAAGGCCTTTTTGCAATTCTGAAGTTTGTCTTAAAACCTATTAATTTTTGAAATGATACTTAAGGCCAAAGATACAGTAAATTATTATCATTTAAGATATATCGTTACCCATATGTGTTATCATTTAGTATTTTATCTTCATTTGTATAGGAATCAGCAGAGAAGGACAGTATACATCATTATCAACTTTTATGGGAAACTTCTTCTGTGCATGGTGTAAATCTCGTCATGGAAGTCAAAAAAGTACTTGTCTCAAGTTTTGTTTCAATGATATAATTCGGAAGAACAATAGAGCTGAGGAGATGGACTCAACTTCTCGATAAGAACAGAGAAAAAGAACCATTTGTGATCTGTTTTGATAGCAATACGAACTTTTTGATGTATCAAAGATCTCCAGGAACTCGTGGCACTTTGAATTCTTCTGGAGAAAGGATCCAGGTGCTTGTGAGTTCTGAAGAAGAATTCCAATATTTGAACTGCTATTCCGTATTATATTGTTTTGTGACTGTAGTTAAGCTGTTAATTGTCCATTTTGCTAAATTATTCATGAAAACATTTCGTTACAATAAATTATATATTTATTATGTGGCCATTTAATGTTTTTGTTACATCAAATTGCAATGCATTCTTTGTTCATCCAGTTCTTTAATGAAAAAGTGTGAAAATAAAGAACAGTGATCGATCTCATAAAAACTTAAAACAACACAAATCTGTGAACAGGGCATAAACAGCTAGGAACCCCTGGAAATTCCAGAGGTGGTATTAAGTGTCTAGGAGGAGTAAGCATTCCCGGTTGACAGGTCACACCCTGTAAGCCTTATGTATTGATCAAGTGGACAGGACATTCCGTAGTCAAATTAAGTGTAAAAACAAAGGTCTAACAATTGGTAGGAAACAAGTCAGCCATAATAAGCATTCCCGGTTGACAGGTCACACCCTGTAAGCCTTATGTATTGATCAAGTGGACGGGACATTCCGTAGTCAAATTAAGTGTAAAAACAAGTGATACAATATATTTGCTCAAAAGGTCATTAGATCTACCATAGAATTTACGGATTGCTGACTTTAAACGAGGTTGTTGAAATCCCCGTAACTTCAACTTATGTGTGTGTAGCCTGCCTCGGTTTAAAACTGATCGTACTCAGAGCATGCCTTTACTAGTAGATAATAAGTTGAGAGACATAAATACCATATGCAGGTGATAACGGAATATTACTACAAAAATATGGAAATTTGACGGTGGAAAAACTGAAGTCATCATTGTCATACAATTTAGTTGTTAGTTGGCCTTTGTCATCTATAGTCAGTAAAACGTCCAAATATAAAGCATATGTGGCAAACTCTGTGGTGTCTGTTATTTCAAGTTCACTGGGATAAATCGAGTCGACAAATAAACGGAAATAACAATTGTTAATTGATAAAACGACGTATATATATCGTAAAGTCGAGTTGAGGGCCACAGCGAGTGTTTAACGAATTCTTACTTTAACCTTTTAAAAAAAAAGTTATTACAATATCCACAAATATCTACGGTTTTAAAATGTTTTTAAAAAGTAATATAGGGCTCTTAAAATCATATAGGTAATATTCAGTTGAATCTTTGAGGCTCTTGATTTGAAATGAATTTAACTTAAAGGAAATATTGATTGGAGTAAAAACAGAAATAAAGTTTCTTCCAATGCCACCAGAACTCTTTAACCAGTTGAAAAAGAATGAAATAGCTTTTTAACACGTTTTATGAATGCGTATAGATAAACATTTTACATAAAAAAAAATAACTGAAATGTCTTATCAAGCCCTTTTGAAATAATCGGTAGAAACTGTTCGTCAAATAAAAAAAGAAGTTAGGTGTTTAAGAGTTACAATATATACTGAAACATAGAACCTAAAATCTGTATTTCGTAATTGATTCTCTCTCTCTCTCTCTCTCTCTCTCTCTCTCTCTCTCTCTCTGTGAGTGTGTGTGTGTTGTGCGTTAAACACAAAAACCAAACATCAAAAGATTATCTCTATGTGTAAAATATATAATTTTATTTTTAATAAAAAATTAAAACGTTTTCCACTAAGAATTTTTTTTTTCAAATCATAGAAATAAAAAGTGCTGATTTTTCTGTGACTTTTCTTTTTCATTATCTACAATGATACGGAAATGTGCAATGAATTATAAACAGTGTTTGTTACTGATAAAATGTAAATTATCCTGTTCTGCAATTCTTCTTGCAATTAGTTTTCATTTTAATGATGATACTTAACTCTCAATGGAGGGAACCAATTTAATAAAGATCATGTCACATAGGCGACTTTAAGGATTCTTTTTGACATCTGTGTCAAAAATTTGTATAAGATTTTTATATGACTGGGTGCAATTTATATGTAAACAATTACAGTTATTTCTGCAATGCAAATAAGCCTCATTATCTTTATCATAAGAACGTCACTTACTGATACGACATTATCTTTTTATCCTGTGGGGGCACCACCTGAAACTTAAAAGAGTGAAAGACTCACTTCAATAAACAATGAACCTTGTAATTAAAAATACACAAGACTTGTCTGCTGCAAGGTGTATGTTTGTACGAAGTTAACCAAGTATAAGGCATTTATTTAATTAGAAGTCATTTATTCTAATGTGTTCATTATCCATAAGATAATTGTGTCTTAAGGTGTGCTTTTCTGAATGCATAGATCTGAACATTACTTTCAAGTATTGTAGTAGTTTAATTAAATTTCGTCTACTAAATTAATGAGATCTACACTTTAGATCAAGACACAGCAGATCATCATTAACTGATAATGAATTCTACTCTGGAATATTTGACCACTATTTTATCTATGTTAAGTACAAATTGAATGCATCCACTTTATTTGTTTGTTTGTCTAAGTATGTCAATCCTTTTTTTTTTTATTACAAAAACAACCATGCAGAAAATCAATATCTATTTTTGCTTTATTTTACAAGAAATAACCCCCCCCCCTAAAAAAAAAATAAAAAAAAAATAAAAAATGACCGAAAGCATTTTCAGCGGTATGCTAGTTTATAATATTTGCATTAATTCATGTATAATTTACCAACATTTTGGGTTTTTCTCAAGCTTGGACTGAATTTCCCGGACTAAAAAATTTCTACTTGTAAAAAATAGAGATGAAAATCACAATTAAGGATTGCCTACACTTAATTAGTATATGTGTACGGTGTTATTAGTCAGTGATAAATTGGACACAATTTCTCGAAACCCAAATAATATTCGTTCCAGTGTTTTTTGTTCTCTGATTTTTGCATCTGCTACTTCTTAATATTTACATTTGCTGTGTTTTTCTACTAAGCCAACTCTGAAATTGATTTGAATGCTATTTTCGTGTATACTCACGCGCAGAAATATACTAGTACACGGAGAAACTCGCGCTAAAGTGACGTCACAATGAGCTACATGAACGTTAATAAAAATATAACAAAATAGGGTATCGAAAAATTTAAACATTGAATATATTTTTAGTGCTTTTGAACATGTAAAATGTAAATATAAGGAATCTTTTTAAGTTTAGTGTGAATTATTGTTGTGTAAATCACACAGACTTGCACGTAGGCATATTTTTCATTAAGCGTTAGCGCGCTCCATGAAATATGCCTACGTGACAAGTCTGTGTGATTTACACAACAATAACTCAAACAAAACTTAAAAACATTCCTTAATTGTAATGACTTGATGAGAAAAAACCCTGAAATTAAAGACAACAAAGATAATGGATATTTGCTACATCCACGCAGCTATATTGCATATATAGATAAGCGGTAGTTTTGGTTTTAAATTAGTGTTATTTATCAATAATTAGACGTTTACAGATATTGAGAGAATGTTGTTACTTGTGTTAAGTAGAAGAAACAATGCTCTATTACAAACCAGATTCTGTAACTGAGGGACACATGGCAAAAGGCTGTTTACAAACGATTGAATGCACTGTATGTTAACATATAAGTCGTTTTTTTTACATTGATACATACATATAAGAGAAGGCATTCCAACTAATGGTATGTTATTAAAATGATGTAATCTCCTACAAGAGACTCATGCCTAATATTTACATACCTTGTCATAGGTCATTTGCAAAATTATTTTGTTAAAAGACATTCTGATTGTACACACAAGTACTCTGAAGTAGATATTAAAAGATGCTTGAGTTTCTGATTGACAATATCGATGTAGTATTTGAAGATCAGGTCTTCCAACAATCTGTCGGAATTCCCATGGGTTCCAATTGCTCCCCGTTATTAGCAGACACATTTTTGTATTTATACGAAGCAGAATTTATTCAAAAACTCATACATGAGCAGAAGAAGTCACTTGCTGTGGCCTTCAAATCGACATTTAGATATATCGAAGGCGTATTATCAATTAACAATAGTTACTTCCATTCAATGTCGACTCGATTTATCCCAGCGAACTTGAGATAAAAGATACCACAGAGTCTGACACAATGATTCATATTTGGATATTTTATTAGAAAAAGACGTTAATGGTAACCTAACAACAAAACTTTGATAACTTTTCTATCGTCAACTTCCCGAATCTACCCTTATCACCTACATATAGGGTCTATATCTTCCAGCTGATTCGATACGCAAGAGCATGCTCCATGTACGAACAGGTTCTAAAACAAGGCAAACTATTGACAAACAAGTTGATAAAACAAGGATATCAACAGTCTCGTTCAAAGTCATCAATTCGCAAGTTCTATGGCCGATACATTGACCTTGTCAGCAAATACAATATATCATAAAGCCGAATGCTCACTGATGTTTTACATACTAATTGTTAGGCCATTAAGTAAACACTGAGTTGTCAATAGATTTTGCCCGATCATGAACGAATCAAACGAATGGTTTAAAACAAATTAATGTTTTAAGAACAAATAAAGGTCGCTCCGCAAAAAAAAAATGTGTGTGTGTGAAATACTGATGCCTCCATATGGCAGCTCAAGGCCAAGATTAAAGTTTTTCATATGTAGGTTAAACTCCAATTTCAAGCGTTCAAAAATGCTGGTACCTAAAGGAAAGGTCACAAGGAAAACACATGTGAAATATGAAAGCCCTAACACCAATATTTAGAAAATATGACAAAGGTCAAAGATTTTCAAAAGTAGAACGTATTCCAGGGTCAAGGTCATGAGGTCAAAAAATTAGTACCGAAGAAAAAGTCTTGTGAAAGGAATATATAAGTGGAATATGAAAACTCTAACCCCAACCGTTCATAAGTTATAGGAAAGGTAAAGGTTTTTTATTAATGTAGGTTAAATTCAAAGGACAAGGTCAGGAGGTAAAAAATGTTGGTACCCGAAGGAAGGTTTTGTCACAAGGAATATACATATGATATATGAAAACCCTAGCACGAACAGTTTAAAAGTTATAGGGAAGGTTGAAGCTTTTACTAATGTAGGTCAAACTCAAAGGTCAAAGACAAAAGGTAAAAATATTGGTACCCAAAAGAAAAGTCTGGTCACATGAAATACACATGTGAAACATGAAAGCCCTAGCACCATCCACTAAATAGTTTTGGGCAAGGTTAAACTTTTCGCAGACAAACAGACA